CTGGGACCAATCCTCGGTGCTGGGACCAATCATCGGTGCCGGGACCAATCCTCGGTGCTGGGGCCAATTCTCTTTCTAATTTACGTAAATGATATGTTTACAGGAGTGAAATCCTACATGTCAATGTTTGCGGATGACGCAAAATTAATGAGAAGAGTTGTGACAGATGAGGATTGTAGGATCCTCCAAGAGGACCTGGACAGGTTGCAGAGATGGTCAGAGAAATGGCTACTGGAGTTCAACACGAGTAAATGTAAAGTTATGGAAATGGGATCAGGTGATAGGGGACCAAAGGGACAGTACACAATGAAGGGGAACTGCCTACCTGTAACGATTCGAGAAAGAGACCTGGGAGTGGACGTAACACCTAATCTAACTCCTGAGGCACATATATATAGGATAACGACAGCAGCGTACTCTACACTGGCGAAAATTAGAACTTCACTCAGAAACCTAAGTGAGGAGACTTTTAGGGCGCTTTACACTACTTTACACTACTCTACGTGAGACCCGTCTTAGAGTGTGCCGCACCATCATGAAGCCCCCACCTGAAGAAACACAAGGAAACTGAAGAAGGTTAAGAGGTTTGCGACGAGGCTTGTCCCAGAGTTACGAGGGATGGGATAGGAAGAGCGTCTGAATGAACTGAACCTTACGACACTTGAGAAAAGAAGGGAGAGAGGAGATATGATAGGGACACATAAAATACTCAGGGGAATTGACAAAGTGGAAATAGATGAAATGTTCACACGTAATAATAACAGAACGAGGGGACATGGGTGGAAGCTGGAAACTCTGATGAGTCACAGAGATGTTAGGAAGTTTTCTTTTAGCGTGAGAGTAGTGGAAAAATGGAATGCACTTGGGGAACAGGTTGTGGAAGCAAACACTATTCATATTTTTAATATTAGGTATGATAGGGAAATGGGACAGGAGTCATTGCTTTAAACAACCGATGGCTCGAAAGGCGGGATCCAAGAGTCCATGCTCGATCCTGCAAGCACAAATAGGTGAGTACATGTGTGACCAGGAACATGACCAGGAAAGAGATAATACAGGCAGTAGATGCAAGGAAAAGGCGCAGGCTGAGGGAAGGGAGCCAGGGAACCTCAACCCCCAACCCAGCAATCCCAGGGGGGAGTGTGGAACCCCAACCCAGCAACTAGGGAACCCCAGAGGAGATTGCAACATCCCAACTCATCACTCTATAGGTGGGGAGTTCCACCATTCCACCCAATTCTACCCTCCCTCCCTACCCCGAATACCCCCTTCCCTCCCACCCCCTTGGTCTTCCACCTGCCCCAAGCCAGGCCCAGACACGAACTAAGTCCTCCATCCCCCACCCCAGTTCTAAGCCATCCACCCCCTTCCCCTCCTTCCCACCCCCACCCACCCCCCATCTCCCCCAGAACCCCTGGTAACTACCCGACAGGAGGATGAGCCTACCCAAGCAACAATGCCCATGGAACAGCTTCCTGCACCAGTGGGGAGTGTGGGTGAAAATGGATATAGGAAAGTGAGCTTCAAGGTAATGTACTCAAACATCGATGGGATTACTAACAAAGCAAGTGAACTGGCAGAAAAGGCGCAGGAAGAAAACCCAGATGTAATAGGACTCACAGAAACAAAATTGTCAGGAGTCATAACAAATGGTGTTTCCAAAGGACTTTTATATAG